CTCATTTCTTAAATGTATTCGTGAAAGGCCTGGCTTTGCACAAAACTAGAATTACTTTTTGAAGTAACAAAGTGAATTTCCAGAATGTCCAGTGCCATGATTTCATATTCAGGCAGGAGGAAAAGAGAGAGAGAGAGAGAGAGTGAGAGAGTTTGAGAGATAGCGAAGGGGAGGGAGGGAAGAAAAGACAGAAGCAGCAGCTATCAAGAACAATCCATGATTCTGAAATGTCATTTTGCTCCTCAGAATGACTCCATTCTACTCACAGCCAGCAGTGTGTCTGGTGGGGACTGAGAGGAGACGGTCATGGCTGCAGTTTGTCTCAATTCTACCAGCCCCTCGTGGCTCAAATGATGGACGGGTAACAGAGTGTCACATATTTTGGAAGCTACATATACAGATAGCCCCTGAATTGCCTGCTCTCAGTTTCCCCATCATTCCCTCCAAGATTACGCAGCTAACTTCATTCATTTCCCATTTCTCCGTCCCTGGGACTTTTCTTTGGGAGACAGACTAGCAGGTAACTGAGTGAGTGTCTTCCTGCGTGGGCTTGTCTTCCTGCAATCCCATGGGTGGAGCTACACTCTCCTGTTCCTTTGTAATATTACCCCTCACCCTGTTTGGCATAGAATGTTCCATGGAAACACCTTTTTGTGTGTCCCCTTCTCTTACTGTCCCCTTGGGTGTGGCCTATCTAAATGTCTGACAACTTGCTGACAGTGGACATCATGAAGCTAGACTCAGCACTTTGAAACCTGACCCCTGGCCACATTTGAATAGCTTCTCCTCCATAAAAGGCATCAGCATGTGTGAGCTTGATCTCTTTCTGCAGATACTTAAGGTCAGAGGAATGGGACAGCAACCCCAAAGAAAAAAGTATTTCTGTCTCTTGTGTGGTTTTTTTCATGCAGCTTATTTACCTAGTTCCCCTGGAGTAACTGCTGGGTGTTTTAGTCCTGAGCTACCCGGCAAGTGGTATCTGTGTGTGGGCAAAAGGTCTGTGTGTTTAAGGCTCAGGGAAAGGGAAACTCTTTTCAAAAGAACATCTCAATCTGTGGTCTTGATTCTCTCTATGGATTGTCCCCACTCCTCCTTATTCCCCAATTTAGCGAGTAGATCTAAAAAATATAAATCTTGTATGTGAGTCCCTCCCCCTTTGCAAGAGACAAGATCAGGAAGGAAAGAAGATGTATGCAATCGCTTGATCACACTCAATGCTCCAGTGGCTCTGCAGCTAGTTGTGCTAAAGGAAATTCTTCCTGACCCCTCTACAGCGTGGCCCACAGATTCTGGTGACTGGCATCAGCTCCACCCTAAGGAGCACAGATGCACAGACCAGCTCAGTCAGAATGTGCATTTCCTACAGGGTCCCCAACAGAGGATCTATTAGACTTGGAGAGTCTGGGTCTCTACTTAGTCTGCTTCTCATTTCCTGCCTCATGTGCCTTCCAAGAACAGTCAGGTTTCCTCCAGATCATGGTCCCCAACCTGAAGGGCGAGAAGAGTCCTTTCTCCTTCACTTACTCGCTGTCTCTCTCTGCCTTTCACACTGTTTCTTCCCCCTTCTCCTGTCCAGATTCTCCAAAGTAGGGGTTAGTAATCTATAGGTTTGGGCATAATCATTTGCACAGTATCCCAATCCCCATCCCGCTATCTCTGCCCTCTGTGCATCGTCCCAGGTAAGCAGCAAGAAACTCTATGATATTCTTTCATACAAACGTGTAACGTCACACATGGTTTCATGAACATTTCAGTTTCAAAACCAAATTTTTTTTAAAAACCTGTCTATCTGCTTGATCAGTTCTTCTCATGTGAGTTCCTTTTTAGTGACAACTAAGTCAGGAGTGAGAGGTCAGAAAACCTACATCACACCTTGAGGCACGTGCATAACTGGAAATTCCCATGTTCTTTCCACACCTTGAATACACTGGTCTTTCCCATCTGGCACTTTCCCATCTGGCTTCTTTTCATTTACTCGCTGTGTTCTGTATCTCTCTGCCCTTCTCAGTGTTTATTACCCCTTCCCCTCTGCACTGCATGATTTCCAACTCCCCTTTTGTCTGTGTGTGTCTTGTAGAGAAACTAAGAGGGACACCCTCAGTGTAACCTGCAGCTGGACTTTGGGGTCTTAATAGAGACAACTCATTATCTTTCTGGCTTTCTCAATTCTGTTTACTAGGTTCATTTCTCCAAGATTAGAGTAACCAGTGCTCATGTTAGAAATCGATACTCTGCCCCTAGAACTGTGTAGACTGTGTCCTTCTTACCACGGTCATGTCCATCTGTTTCCTCCTTTGCTCTATGCTGTTTCTCACCAGATGAGTGAGAAAGCTGCATCTGCAGAAGAGTCTCAGAGAGTATCTGCAAAATGAATGCATGAAGATTTCATGACCACCCTTTTTGACTCCACCCAATTTTTGGTCTGACTAAAATGTAGCTAAGTTCAGACTGAACAGTCATCCTTTCCACAGGGCACCCTAGCATTTGTGCTCTGGATGAACCTGAACTCTTTATCTTTTAATGGCTCTGGATTTGGTAAAAGCAGGATGGAGGTACCAGAAAAGGCATCCCTGACAACATGCTAACAGAGGTGAACACACCCCAAAAGACAGGAAGAACGAAATTCATTGTAACTCTCCCTCCTTCCCATTCCCCTTTACATATAAGAAGGTTTTTCAATTCGTATTTGAAAGAGCTTTGAGGAGTATGCTTGATATTACGTGGGATTATACATTATAAATGCTGGATTGACCAGTTTTAAAATATGAGACTTAGGTGTTCACTTGGGGATCTGACACTGGGACAGACCCCTGCCCAAGGACCCACACGTGCAGGCCAAGTGACATACATCTAGATGCCTGCTACCTAAACCTCGTCCTGGGAATGCTGGCAATGTGAGAAAACATGGCGAGACGGCATCTCCAAATTCCATCATTCCCCCATGCTGCATCCAAATATATTTCTTTAACACACACTAAAGACATTTTGATCAAAATAATCAATATATGGACCAATTTTCTGCATGCATGAGAAATGAAATGGAAAGGTCAACACAAATAAAAATTGTTCAGCTTGGAATAAATAACGAGTGATTTTCTCCAGGATGTTGAGCCTTTGGCAACCACCACCCTTCTGCAGGAATGCATTCAGTGGCCATCACACTTACACTATTCATGGTCCAGGTACTTTTTCATCCCAATGTTTTCCTTTTCTGGAAGCTTTCTCACGAGGAAGCACCAGCGGCATTTAGATACCTTTTGCCTCCATCACAAAATGAAGTCTAGCTTTAAGTTGACATGATTTCTAATGCTATTTTTTAGATTCTAACCACTTAAGGGGGTTTTTAGAAGTTAAGCCATAGATTATGATGCCTAAATGCTAAAGACTACTTTCAAAAGTATTTTCACCTGGCCTCCTCTCCTTTCTTTAGGAAGGAAAACAAGAGGAAACCAGGAATAAAGGATTGGCACGTTGACGTACCTGTGGCTGGTTATGTAGAGTGTCATCAGAACTCTCCTGCTCTTCCTCTGAAGTCACATCAACAAGGTTCTCTGCTGACAAGTGAATACAAATTTACTCACAGTCCTTAGGACAGAGTTAGATGAGTGAATGTCCATCTAAGTAGAAAGCAGTAACTGTAACACCAGTACAATTAAATGTTCCCAAATATGCTTTCTAAGTAAGTTCAATGTTAGGTGAGCAACTCCTGGTTTCCATGTTCCACGGTTTTCCTTTCCTTGTATTTGCACCTTGGGTTGGACCCTGAAACTTGTGCAATCTTGTCAACTACTCTACACTTAGTTCTACCCTTGGCCATTTTGGTTGGCAACCGGGGTCCCCTGCTGACTGGACTGAACACAGCCATTCTTCAGCCTCTGACTTACAAGCAGCTGTGGGTAAGATGTGCCTGTCCATCTGCACCCAACCAACAATGACTTCTTCATGGAGCACTATTCCTGATCCAAATCGTCAACACACAACAGGATACCAGGTTCAATGCACACCGCATCTCCAAGACTCATCTTCTCAAGGTCAATGTGATTTGTTCAGAAACAAACTTCCACATGAAAGAAGGGCTGAGTGTAGGGAAACGGATGGCCTAGAGCAAGCTGCATTCTAAGCTGCACCACAGTGTGGAGGCCCAAGAAGTGGGTCAAGAGCTTCTTAGCAGGTGAGTGGAAGAGGGGTTTATTCAATTTTCACACTGGACACTCAGAAGGGCTTATGGATTCATAAAGCTGTGTACCACAAACAAAGACAGCCCACAACCTGCAGGCCAACACCAGAGCAGACCTGCCTCAGACCAAGGGAGGGAGAGGAGACGAAGCTGCATTCTAAGTTGGGCCTTGGTGTGTGTTGCTAAGGAGAAACCCAGGATCAAAAATGCTGCCTGAGCTGGTCTGACCACAAGGCTGATCTCTGCACTGGTGCTGAAAAGCCTGCTCTTCTCTCCAGGGGTGAAGGGAGTGCTGAGGCTGTAGCTGTCCTCGGGGAAGAGCACCACAGTGGTTTCTTTGGTTCAGCTCATGAAAACAGCGTACACACACACACATACACACACACAAAGAAACACCACAACAGTCTCATGGTGAGAAACTAATGTGATTCCATTTTTAAAAATAAATAACAGCAGCTTCTACCCCAAGGCCTGTCCTAAGGAAGGGGATGTGACCCTTTTCCGTGGAAAAACCCACAGAGCACTCCTACCACATACCCACCCTGCTGTGTTGTTCGTCTGTAAATAACTGGAGAGGTCTGGGGTACCAGGTGTCAGGCTAGGTGAGGACCCATAGCAACCCCCTAGCAACCTCCAATCAGCATGAGACAGAGAAAATACCTGGGATGCCAGATGACCCCCCAGTAGTTTATGGTAGTTGATAACATGTTGGGAAACCATGTAGTTTAGCATGTACACCCCTCATGGCCTAAACCGATCAGTTCAAATGAATCCCTCCCTCATACTAACCAATCACCCCTGCCCAAGTTGTTCCCGCCATTGAATGTGCTAATCAATGTTAAGAGTTGTTTGATTTTCCCACAGTATGGAATGATTTGCTGTGTGATGTTGTGACACATAGAGTATTCCCCCAAAACCTATAAAATCTCACTAAACAAAGGACCAGGACTCACTCCCAGGGACCACTGCGCTGGAAACGGTTGTGAGTCCAGCCTCCAGCTTACCATAAGACTCTTGTGTGCTTGCATCGTACTTGGCTCCTGGAGGTCTATGGGATCCCACGAATGTGGCATAACAATGGCAGTGCCTATCAAGGGACTAAGTTTTCCCTGCTGGAAAGTGTGAGAAACTGGTTCAGATTGGACTATACCCATGAGACTCGGGTTGGAAGGGCAATGGGGAACCTGTATGTCTGGCACCAGAACCCAAGCAGGCAGAGAAAAGGTCTCAAGATTGTGGTTTTTCTGGAAGAAGGTGCAGAGAGAGACAAGAGGCGAGTAGCCAGGAAGCAGGAGATAGTGAGAGCATGACACGCTGCAGGCCCACACAGAGGAAGGTGTAAAATGGGTCTGCATTGTCTGAGGATAGAGGGATGGTGAGGACTAATGCCAGACACAGGGAAGGGGGGACAGGCATAAGGACTCAGTGAGGCCCAGCTCCTGTAGGAAAGATTTCTAGGAAGTTTGAGAAGGCAGGCCTTTCACATTCTGAGCAGAGGCTCAGGTGACATTTCACAGCAGCTACATCTCCCCAAAGGCTGGAAACAGGGAGAATGGAAACAGCATCAGAGATCCATGATGAGAAAGCCCCAGTATGAAATGGAGGGGAAGCAGTTCAGAATGGAGGGGACACCTCCTTGGGACAAGGACCTCACACGTGGGAAGGCTGCTAGCATTCCAGTTGTTCTCACACAGTGTTCCCCTGGAACGTCGTAGTGCAACTTACCTGATCTGACTGTCTCTGCTTCCGCCTTCCCTGGTCCTGGACATGGGTCGGGCTCCTTCACTGTGACGGGGCGCTCAGTGTGCTTGGAAAGAAGAGAGGACATCAAGAGTGTGCCCCTCCCCACTGCAGAGGGAACCATTCAGCATCAGTATAGAGCTTTAATTACCTTCGTGCATTCCGTGGTGTCCCAAGATGCTGAAACACAACAAAGGGACACACTGTCAACCCAGGTGAAGAGGACCACACGACTCAGACCTTCCTCCACATAGAGCTGAGGTGCATGGTTTCGCTCTGCTCAACACCATGCTACCTGCTGGGTTTCCACGCTGGCTGGTTCTGGCCAACAACCGTCACTGACTCAAAGCTACTAAAGGTGCTTCGTGAATAGGTTTCCTGGAACATGTATTTTGTTGTGTCAGATGGTCATAAATAAAACAGAAAGGGGACCTATGCCAATGCCAAGGTGCAGACTGATGGGGAGCTCAGCGATCTCCCATGGCAGCCTC